AATGTAATTTTGTTAACTCCTTTTACCCAAGTAATGTAATTTTGTTAACTCCTTTTACCCAAGTAATGTACTTTTGTTAACTCCTTTTACCCAAGTAATGTACTTTTGTTAACTGCCTTTTACCCAAGTAATGTACTTTTGTTAACTCCTTTTACCCAAGTAATGTACTTTTGTTAACTCCTTTTACCCAAGTAATGTACTTTTGTTAACTCCTTTTACCCAAGTAATGTAATTTTGTTAACTCCTTTTACCCAAGTAATATAATTGAGTTCAAGTAATGCAATTTCCCCAAAGTTCACTGATATCCTAACAAAGAGGGTCAATTTATAGCAACGTAAACTTTTTCTAACCCGAAATGATATAGATACACAAATAACCACGAAATACTTCATATTAATTTCCTGGCTAACAAATGTACGTAAAACATTGAATGATGTTACTGGTAAAATAGTACACACAAGAACTACACACCAATTGAAATATCACCAAGATTCGAAAAAAGTTGATCGACTTGTGTATGTTATTACTAATTTGTATAAATGTTAGTGAATTTTGTTAAAATTAAAACAGTTTAATACACAAATAAGCACGTGGATATCAAAAATGGTAGATGATTAAACATTTGAGGGCAAAAAAAAATATATCTTAAATTTATTTAGGGTGAATTAATAAAACTTAGCTGAAAAACTGCTAATATAATGTTAACAACATTATACAACAATATTCCTTTGCAGAGACAACATTGACACTTACCTGCTATGCAAGCAGTCATGAAACAGGCTATGCTGCCAGATATCATGGCACGTATGGCTACAGATGCGAGATCGGACTTTCTTTCCGGAGCCATGGCGCTCAGGCCGCCGAGCTGGATCCCAATAGATCCAATATTAGAAAACCCACACAAGGCATAAGTAGCAATGGACTCTGACCGTGGCTGTGTGAAGAGAATTAACAAATAAAGTTTGTTGTTGTTTTGAATTTCGCGCAAAGCTACATGAGGGTTATATGCGCTAGCCGTCCCTAATTTAGCAGGAAAAGACTCGTGGGATTGATCGTCACATTATAACACCCCCACGGCTGAAAGGGCGAGCATGTTTGATGGGACGGGGATTCGAACTCGCGACCCGCAGATTGCGAGTAGAGCGCCCTAACCTACTGGCCATGCCGGATTTAACAACTAGATGTACCACTTTAAAATCCAATAGTACAATAACCCTGACCGGAGCTATGTACGAGGAATTAACTAATAAATAAGTACCACTTTCAAATCCAACAATGATAATATAAAAAAAAACCTGGTCGCAACCGTGTGTAAAGAACTAATTAAATAAAGAGGTACCACTTTCAAATCCAACAATGATAATATAAAAAAAAACCTAGTCGCAACCGTGTGTAAAGAACTAATTAATAAAGAGGTACCACTTTAAAATCCAACAGTAATAAAATAATTGGTCGCAGCCATGTATGAAAAACTGATTAATAAATAAGAACAACTTTCATATCTTACAATAATAAAAAACCTGATCGGAGCTGTGTATAGAATTAACTAATAAAAAGTACCACTTTCAAATCCAACAATAATAAAAAACTGGTCGCAGATGTGTGTAGAATTAACTACTAATTAAGTACGACTTTCAAATCCAACAATAATAAAAAACTGGTCGCAGATGTGTGTAGAATTAACTACTAATTAAGTACGACTTTCAAATCCAA